CCCTATGTCTCTTCACATTGTCTTTCCTCTATGCATATTTCTTTGTCTAAACGCATCCCTTTTTATAAGGATACCAGTTATACTGGATTAGATCCCACCCTAATTAACTCAGTTTAACTTGATTACTTCTGTAAAGACCCTATTTCCAAATAAGATAATAGTCTGAGATAATAGGGGTTAGAACTTCAACATATGAATTTTGGGGGAGGATACAGGTCAACCAATAATACTAGGTCATAGGGCTACAAGAAAAAACAGACAATAGGAGGGTCTTGACATGTGGTTGAGACATTAGACTTAAGAAACTCAGCCTAACTGTGATTATTATGGAGAATATCAGCATAGAACTAGATTTTACATGAAAGAAAGGAAATTCTGAAACTGAACCTTATAACAACTAAAATAAAAAATTGGATAGTTGAGTTGAGCAGCAGATTAGATATAGTTCAAGAGAACATTGGTCAAGTGAAAGATAATTCAATAGAAAATATTCTATTCAGAGTGAAGGACCAAGGGGGAAAAGATAGAAGAGACAAAAAAGAATACAACCATGTCAGTAATTTATTGGCTTCATTTTAGTGTACCTGTTGAAAAACCATGAAAAAACACACCCATAATCTCAGCCTCTGTAGTGAACAATATATTTACGGTCATACAGACCCAGATTAGAACCCCAGCTCTGTCTCTTAATTTCTTACTGACTATGTGATATTAGATTAGTGATTCCCTGAGACATAGTTCCTCCTGTCTAAAAGGAGGACATAATACCTATCTAACAGGGTTGTTGTGGGAATGAAATTAGATAATGCATGTGAAAGTGCTTTATGTATTGCAGATCCACACACATTAAAGCATTTGTTCTTTATTGTGTAGAACATATAGTAACTTGGGATATATCTACTATTATGATCAGAGATCTTCAGATATTTATTTATTTTCTAGAGTCAACATCTGCCTTAAAAACACTTCAGACTAAAAGCCTGTTCTATCTGTTGCTGTATGTACTTGAAAAAAGAGGGGTCTTTGCTGTGCTGTCCATTATCCTGTCAGGTCTCATTTTACCATCTTTGTTAAAAGTTAAATCTGATTGCCCTAACCGGTTTAGCTCAGTGGATAGAGCGTTGGCCTGCGGACTGAAGGGTCCCAGGTTCGATTCTGGTCAAGGGCATGTACCTTGGTTGCGGGCACCTCCCCAGTGGGGGACGTGCAGGGGGCGGCTGATCGATGTTTCTCTCTCATCGATGTTTCTCTCTCATCTATGTTTCTAGCTCTCTATCCCTCTCCCTTCCTCTCTGTAAAAAATCAATAAAATATATTTTTTTAAAAGTTAAATCTGATTCATTAAGATTACTGAGATTTCCTGTTTTTTTCCCCGATTCCTAAAATATTTCATAGAAATATATCTTGTTTAGGTACGTTAATAAATTTTTATTTGTGTTTCACCTGTCAATTTACACTTTTGTTGTATTATTTTTAATCCCATCATTCCTATGCATCAACTCATTTAATAAACATTTGTCAATAGACTATGTGCCCAGCATTGCACTGACTGCTTATGATAAAGGATGAGTAATAGAGCTAGTGGGGAAGTTAGATAGCTAAATACATTTGAAATAGCAAAATAAGTGCTATAGGGGAGGCATAAGATCACAAAAGAGAGATTACATCTGCCTGTGGTGCTACTGAATAGGTGACCTTTGAGCTAAGTGTGTAATGATTAGTAAAAAATACCTTGTGGATAAAGGACAGATGTACATTTCAGGTAGAGGAAGGGGAAATTGAAGAATTTGATGTATTCAGGGATCAAATGTAATTTGGCATGGCTAGAGTGTAGGATGGTAAGACAAGAGAATGGGATGGAGTGACAGAATCAGCTGAAAAAAAAATGAAGGAGCCAGAGAAAATATTAGAGCATAGATGAACATAAGGAAAATGAATCTAGCTGGGTGGAAATTGATGTGGAGGTGCTTCGGGTTTAGTGAAGTGAACAGATGGATCTGGGTGAGTGTGGTTAGAGTGGTATCCTTGGATGACTATATTTCCTGGACTCTTCTCTCTTTAAATCTCCATCACATATTTCCTCTTCAGTTCCATATTAAGAGAAAGCAATCCATTGTGAAACCTCCAAAGGTTTTTACTCCCACACTTACTCATCTACTTGTATCTGTGCCTATTTTTTTCTATATTCTTTCTCTCCTGTTACTATTGATACACTGCCTGTTTTTCATCTAAAGCCAGCCCTTCACCTATGCACTAGATTACAGTTTTTGCCTACAAAAGGACATTGCTCTAGCAATTACACCCTAGTTCTTCTCTTTCTCTCACATCTCTCAGACAATCCCCTAGCAATTCTATCAGCTAAACATTCTAATTTTATCCAAACTATGTCACATCCTCTTGATTACAACCACCCTGATATCTCTGAACTAGGTTGTTTCAATAGCCTCCTAAGCATCTCTGCTTCACCTTTTCACCTTATTTTATTCTAATCTCCACCCAGAAGCCTTAATGATCCTTTTAAAACACACATCAAATCATGTCGCTCTTCTGCTCCATTTGGCTTCTGAGCTCAACAGACCTTAATATGGCCTACACAAAGCTACCTCGTTGACCACACTTTCTGCCACTTCACCCCTTATTCTTAGTACCAGTTAAGCATACCAAGCATGCTAAGGGACATTTGCACTTTCTGATTCCTCTGTGTGGAATGTCTCCCTCCATCCTCAACAGATCCACACCATCTGGTTTGCTTATTCACTTCTTTGAAGTCTTTCTTCAAGTCACAGCTATCCTTCCCAGACCACACAAAACTCTTCTGCCTACCCTCTTTGTTTGACATCGTCTGCTTTATTTTTCTTTGTATCATTTATCCTCTACTTTAAATAGTTTTCATTTATTTACTTGTTTATGTTCTCCCCTTAGAATGGCAGTATTATTTTAGGATTAGGATTTTGTTTTGCTCACTGCTATATCCATAGTACCTAGATGTATTAGGTGCTTGATAAATATTTTGGAATGAGCAAATGAATTAATCAATCAGTTAATCCATCCTCGAGGATATGAGTCTTGATGGGGGTTTTCAAAAGATGAGGGGATATGACTTGGTGGAAAAGATAGGGGAGGGACATTCCATATAGAGGCAGTGTCATTTACCATGACAAGACTATAAGAATTGAGCTCCTGAGGTTTGGGGGACAGCAAGCATTATGACTTACTGCTATGAAATGGCTGCTAAGATGTAAATGAAAGTGGTAGCCTTATTTTATATCCTATTCAGCCTTCAAACCCTCAAATCATACCTCTCTGGAGCCACATTTAACATTGCAAGTTTTGCTTTTGCAGCTAGATTGTTACTTCCTTAGTTCAGTTTTGTGTACCCAAGAGGTGCTAAAAAGTGTGTGTGATGATGGAAAAGGAAATTGCCCAGTGCTGTGAGCACTTTAGTAAGGTAGTATCTATATTTTGTGAGTTTTGATCAGTGGACCATAATGCAAAATATTTATGACAGTTATCCTACCCCCTTCATTGCTTTATGTAAGTTAGTGCTAGTTACTATTAACTCCCAGACATCAATTTTCTACTTTTATCCTGAGAAGAAAGTCATATATGTCAAACTTCATCAAATTGTTCATGTAAAATTGGTGAGTTTTATTATACTTTACTTGAGGCCTGATGCAAGAAATTCGTGCATGGGTAGGGCCCCTAGGCCTAGCGGGCGATCAGGCCCAATCTGTGGGGTGATGGGGGGGGGCCACTGGCACCCACCTTGGCTGGCCTGGCGCCGCCCACTCATTGGCCCTGCCCCCCGCAACCGCTGTCAGTCACCTCCCTCTGCAGGGTGACTGGCAGGGCAATTAGGGGTCCCTGCTGGCACCTGCCTTGGCTGGCCTGGGGCCTGCAGGCTGGGGCAGCTCCTGCATTGAGTGTCTGTCCCCTGGTGGTCAGTGCACATTATAGTGACTGGTTGTTCCACTGGTCATTCCACCATTTGGTTGATTTGCATATTAGGCTTTTATTATATAGGATTTTTTCTTTAAAGATTTAGTTAAATTCTCCAATGAAATCATGTCTACCTGGAGTTTTCTTTATTGGAAAGTTTATAACTATATATTCAATTTATTTAGTAGATATAGAACTGTTCAGGTTGTCTCTTTCTTCTTGAATGAGTTTTTTTTATTTTGTATCTTTCAAAGAATTGGTCTGTTTCAACTAAGTGTTGAATTTATGGGCATAGAGTTTTTCGTAAAATCCTCTTTTTGTCTTTTTAATGCCTGCAGGATGTGTTGTGCTAACCCCACTTTTATTCCCTATATTGGTAATTTGTGTCTTCTTTCCCTTTTTTCTTAGTTTGTATAGCTAGAGATTTATCAATTGTATATATCTTTTTTTAAATTTTGAATTGGCCGACGCTCTATCCACTGAGCCAAACCAGCCAGGGCATATTTATCTTTTTAAAGATCCAGCTTTTGATTTCATTGATTTTTCTCAATTAAAAAAAAATCATTTACTTTTTGTTCTTATATCACTTATTTCATTTTGCTTATTTTGAGCTTACTTTGCTATTTTTCTAGTTTTATTGAGTTGAATGCTTAGATTATTGAATTGAGAACTCCGTCCTATACTAACATAAACATTTAATACTATAAATTTTCTCTGAACACTGATATAGCAATTGAATGGGAGTGGCAAGAATAGATTTGTTTTGTTTTATTTTGTTCTTAACCTTGGGGGAAACATTAAGTCTTTCACCATTATCTTCTTAACACTAGATTTCTATAGATGATCTTTAGCAGCCTGGAGTTTTGGGGTTTTTTTTTATCTATTTCTTGTTTGCTTGAAATTTTTATAAAGAATAGATGTTGAATTTTGTTAAATGCTTTTTTGAGTACCTATTGAGATGATCATTTGCTTTTTTTATTTTGTTGATATGGTGAATTATGTTGATTAGTTTTTGATATGTTATTGATTTTTACATCTATGTCTCTGAGAGATATTGATCTATAGTTTCTTTTTGTAATGTTTTATTTGGCTTTGGAATCAGGATAGTACTAGCCTCATATAAAATAAGATGGGAAGTTCTCCCTTCTCTGTATTTCCCAGAAGTTCGTGTGAAATTGGTATTGTGTGTTCCTTAAATATTTGGTAGAATTTACCAGTGAAGCCATCAGGGCTAGAATTTTTTCTTACTGGGAGGTTTTTAGCAACAAATCAGTTTTTAAAATATATGTGCAACTATTAGGGTTATCTACTTATTATCCAGTGAGCTGTAATATTTTCTATTTTTTTAATAAATAAATTTCTTTTTTTATT